GAAACACAAGGATACCTATGACAATTTTCAAAATGTGGAAAGAGTCTTCTGTAAAAAAAAATCTGAAAAGATTATATCACAATTTTTACAAATGAATAATATAGATACATACATTTGGGTTACACAGAAACACTTTAAATGGTATGATTGTGAAGATGCGTTTTAAAAATAAATGATATGATATGGCTTTTTTAATTTTTTTTTTTAAATAAGTCGAATAGTATCGGTTAAGTTACGCAAATCTCCGATTGCTGAAATAGCCCCAATAATCTGTTGCAAAATGTTTTGAGTTATGTAGACTATAGAGACGTTATTTTCTATCGTTTCGATCAATATACCGCATCTCAAACTTTGGATTTCGTGTTGAGCAGTATTAAATTTTCAGGTCTTGTGACTGTTGTTTGTCTTTCGATCGTTTTTGTTTTCTTGGCCATGGCGTTGTCAGGCTGTTGTTTTACGTATGAGTTTCATTATCCCTTATGTATCTTTTGCTTCTCATTTTATAGTATCAAGTAATTTGATAAAAAAAATACACGATTCTTGAGATGACTATAAAATGTTTTCTACTATTAAAAGAGACGCGAAAGATACCAGAGGAACATTCAAACTCATAAGTTGAAAATACACTGACAACGCCATGGATAAAAAAGAGAAAGACCAAAAGACAAACAATAGTACACAAAACGCAATATAATTAACTAAAGACTGAGCAACACGAACCCCATGTATTAAGTAATACGCCATATCAACAGCACCATTAAAGTACAACATAAAACTTAAATGACACTGTAAATTTGGCTATACGATGAAATGATCTTGATGTGAAATGTAGTTTGCAAAAAACTGGATCAACCTCTTAGCAAAAAACTGAACTTGTAAATAACGAGAAGCTACGGCACATTTTGATACACGAGTAATTGACATTTATGTTTAAAGTTCAAATTTATCTTCGTGGTGTTTATATTTACAATTTTTATATAGTACATATTTTCTAACTAGAGATGGTAATTTAAGATAGGTTTGCAATAAACAATCAAAACTTATTTATTCTTCTTTATAATTGTACTTCTTTTAAATTTGTTTTTTATATTATGTTACCTGATGGTTGTTCTTGAAATCCAAAAACTGCTGTGGTAATCTGTGCTTTCGAGCTTTCCAAAAAGCAATCGTTAATGTCAGCCAAACATTGCCCAGAACTGCATCTATGTAATCCCTCGGGACATAGTTGTACAATTGTACCTTAGAAATAAATAAAATCGCATGTTTGCGATTTTTTTACTTCCTTCATGTGTTAAAATAAGGGAATACTCAGCTTTTTTATATTTCATATGTTTTTTATTTGCTTTATTCTTCTTTTTACTAACGAAAGAACCGAACATAAATCGCACGCTAAATAAAGACAGTTTACAGTAGCTATTTTTTTATTCTCTTTTCGTCATAAAGATCCTCACGTATTCAAATTTAGGTACTAGTACATCCTTGACCTTCAATTTCAGTTTTTTTTTTTCTGGGGAGCGGAAGAGGGGGCGGGTACCTCACTGATGTAATGTATCCTTGAAAAAAAAAATAAAAGTTGGATTTCGGCTTATTATAATCATTTGAATAGAGGGTGCATTGTATAGATTCTAAAAAAAATCATCAGGTGAACTTAAGATTGTTTTTGATTAGTATTTTTCAACGTTTGCATTTTTAGAACGGCAATATTTGGTTTCAAGATGCACTGCAAAGAAATATGGTTTATTAAATTAGCTTCGATATTTTACCTTTAAAAATCATGTGGAAAGAGCAATATATGACAGCCTTAAATAAATTTAATCATATAAACATATAGCTTTCATGAGTTGGCACTGCATATCCACATTTTAGCACATTTTACTACCAACATGCTACCTTCTCTTGCTATGTATAGCCAATAACACCGTTGGGCCTTTGGAAATGTTTTCCAATAAAAATTGTTTTGTCTTGATTTTTTACACTTATTACGTAAGGTAGGTCATCGGTATATATTTCCTCAAATAGAATTGTCTTATACTTTGCCAAAATGAAGATTTTACTATGCTATTTTTCTAAAACATAATGAAAAGTATAGGTCACTGTGCTATCTTTCAAGCTATTAGTCGATCAAAATTGTCAAAATTTGCTTAGATTGTTCATTAAAAAAACACATCTTTGTGCATAAAAAGAAATCTATGAGACAGAATTTTGAAATAAAATATGAGAAGATAGGTTTTATAATATGTTTTAAGAAAATAAAATGAAAAATGGTGTCACCGAACATGTTTTCTTGCTACAAGTAAATAATAAAAATTTCCCTTTCAGTCCAGTATATTTTTTTATCAAAAGGGTTATCTCCCCTTAAATGGCTAAGTTGAAAAATTGATTCTAAAAAACACAAATATTTGGTGTTTTTTTAAACATTTAGGATAATGCAATAAATCACTAAGTTTTCATTATATAAACATGATAAATAATCAGTCTAAACTATAGATTGCAAATCTGTCTCCAAATTTGCAGATTTGGGCAAAGAACTAGACCGATTGTGTAATGCGATTGTACAATCCAAGATGGCGTTATACCATGAATCTACCTCAATATGACTTTGGAAATGTATAAAGAGTTTTGATAAAATTGTTCTTTTAACAAAGAGAGGAGTACATTTGGCCATAAAATGTACTTAACAAATACATTGATAACCACCAATGTCATCAAACCACAAATTTAGGTCAATTTTGTAATTGGTAGAGCGTTTGAGTATCTCCGTGCTTCAATCAACTAGAAAGGTGTGAAGCGTTTGATATAACTGTTTCATTAAATTTTGATAGTTTTAACTTGCATGTTTCTTCCTTTAGCCTTGAAATAACAAAAAGGCAAGAAGCAATACGTGTTGTCATCTAATATTTAATAGACTTATATCTATACGATTTCTTACGAATGCTTAAATTATTAATTTTTTTTTTTTTTTTTTAATTTTTTCGAATTTTTCATTCTTAAATAAAGTGGAATTTCTTTATTTGAATGGTCAAACTAACTTCAGATTTAATAAAGGAATGACTGTAATATTTCTTCTGTCTATGAATTAAGAAATAACATCAAAAATGTGGTGCACACTAAATAACCCGCGTAGAGGGTTATTTAAAAGTGTGCACCACATTTTTTATGTTATTTCGAATAGACAGAAAAAATATTACAGTCATTCCTTATAATTTAATTCTAACGGTCAAATGACAAAATTGTGTCTATGAGCTGATAGACAAAACACTTTCAGCCAATCAGAAGACGTGTTACATCCAAAATTAAATTATACACAAATTAAAAGAAAAAAATAATAGACATATAAGAGATTATCACTGTTTGTCATCCTTTTGGAAATACTAAAACTTTGGCCTCAATTATTTTCATGGTTTATTGGACAAAACAAGTAATGAATGGTGTATTCTACCAACACTAAGGTTGTCTACCTCAGGCATAGGTCGTGTTAACCAGATTTGGCATAGTTTGGGTGAATTTTCAGTATTTAGAGTCATAACTAATTCTCCTTAATTGATAGTTACATTATTGACAACCTTCTTTTTATACTTATTTGATGAATCTAAACTTTAGATGAAAATAAATGTTTATAATTACTTTTGGCTACCCCAAAGTATATTTCATCTTGAGAATGTGTGAAAACTTATGAAATACATAGACAATACCTCCTTTTTATATTTCAGAAAACCCGCTCAATGATTATTCTATATATATCAAAAACTAGAATTTATTACACGTTTCAACATTCCAATCGTCAACTTCCCATTCTCAGCAGTAATAAACCCTCTGCCCAATTGTTTATCATTTACATACACCAAGTGACATGTTACGCTCGTAAGTGATCATAATTCTTACACAAAAACTGTTCCAACACAGAAATGTGGAGGACCGCCTAAATTCCACACTTCATAAGTCTTACAGTCGCCTACAATTGGTTTTCCGATATAATGGGTATGTGTCTCAGATCACTAGTGATATATTTTTGAGGTGTTACATATTTTTAAGCCAGAAGAGTCGTCTGACCTATAACTGTGTCCTATTGCTGATTGTGTCATTTTTCCTAAATGAGGATTCGCATTACGGGTGATACAATGTGTTTCAGTTCTTTTTCATTTTATGCAATTCCCACAGGTCTTTTTTTCATATTTTATTTGTATCTTCTATGTGGATTTCGGAGATTTCAACGTCGGTAAACTATTGCTGGCTTTAATCAATACTTACTACAAAAGGGAATATTACAAATCTCTAACCGCATACTTGGGTCCATGGTATAACACCAAGGTGAAGGTTGGTCATCTTCAAAGTCTGGATTACGACAATAGTTGTGTGCATATCCAGGTGGTGGTCTGGATCTATAATGCACATGAGGATCATTTGAATCCCACCTCTGACAGGTCCTGTTGTTGATAGTTATATTGACAGCTCCTCGATATTCCGTACCTTGCGATGTCATTTTACAATCATCTTCTGCAAAAATCAAACTTAATAAAACTAAGGAGGTGGTAAAATTTATTAGAATACTTTTCCTGATTGTGAATTGCTACCTTAGATTTCTGCCCATCGTATGTTATTAGATCTGACGCCCTAATCGGATAGATAATAAAATATAGTTTCCGTCGTATAATCAATTTCTGAGTCTAATACCAAGTTACTGATCTGGTAACAGGACTGTTAGCTTTCTGACTTTAATTGTAGCATAAAATTTTATTTCATTTCGACATAAAAGACAGAACTTCTGAAAATGCTTTATTTGAGGAATTTCAATTTAAATCATAATATGAGAAACATATCTAAATCGAATAAATTTAGAAAGTAATTGAAAATAAGGAACGAAAGATACCAGAGGGACAGTCAAACTCATAGATCGAAAACAAACTGACAACGCCATGGCCAAAAATAATTAATAATAATTAAGAATTTTGCTAAATAATGAATAGTTTCATACTTAATAAAAAATACTTACGTATATTACAGGTATTATCATTTTCGTTGTAGTATTGGGTAGTTTCACAATCACATATACCAGAATTACAGATGAGAGGAGTGGTACAACTTCTTACTGCTGTCGAACAAGGGTCTCTGTGCGTTCCAACTGTAGGAAAAGTAATCAAGTTTTATTATTTGATGTGTATTTATTATTTTTCGATAATTCAATATCTTCTTCGATTAGATAAACAACATGAACAAATTTGATCGTTCTTATGTTGTACTGTTACACCACTGTCCCAGGTTAGGGGGAGGGTTGGGATCCCGCTAACATGTTTAACCCCGCCACATTCTGTATGTATGTGCCTGTCCAAAGTCAGGAGCCTGTAATTCAGTGGTTTTCGTTTGTTTATGTGTTACATATTTGTTATTCGTTCATTTTTTGTACATGAATTAGGCCGTTAGTTTTCTCGTTTGAATTGTTTTACATTGTCATTTCGGGGCCTTTAATAGCTAACTGTGCGGTATGGGCTTTGCTCATTGTTGAAGGCCGTACGTTGACCTATAGTTGTTAATTTCTGTGTCATTTGGTCTCTTGTGGAGAGTTGTCTCATTGGCAATCATACCACATCTTCTTTTTTATATTGAACCAGTACCAAAATCTTAACATTCCTCCATCAATTCTCTCGAATAAAATGAACAAAAATATAAAAAATTATATATTGATTTAATTTCACATGCAACTTCGGTGAGCGAGCGGAGCGAGCCAATCAAACTCTTCTGATTGTCAAGTGGTTGGTATTTTAAGATATTTATACCAAAAAAATTCTAATAATCTGTGAATCGAACTACTTCTTTTCTTTGTCATCATTTGAAGAAATTTTACTCATTATTAAGATAATCATGATAACGTCTCCTCACACATTGTAATGATCGCCGGCTTCCTCAACCAATAAAAACTGACAGCTACGAAATAGCACAATAGTGCTGAAAGCAGCGTTGAAACCCTATCAATTAATCACTATCTTACCACAATATATTTAAATCTAAAATATTGATGCGAGTTAACTATTTTCTGGTAAAGCTGTTGCTGTAATGTAATTTAACATAAACAAAACAAACAATTTAGATGCATTACAGTCAAACTATGTCAAATATGACATTTGAATAACACCAAACAGGCTTTGATTTTTATCCTGACTAGTTGTTAAAATTGTATCACCTGCAAATTTTGTTTCAGAGAATTAATATATTTCTGAAAAATCCTAAAAATTCTGAAAGAAATATGTAATTGTCGCTAGATACGCTTTTACAGATAAATAAGGAGTTTTGTCATACTTCATTCTATCAATTTTAATAGTAAACACCTACGTGGTTTGCAGGTATTAAAATCTGCAATGTAGTAATGCGTTGTTTCACACTCACATAAACCAGAAACACAAATAAAGGGAGAGTAACAACTGTTTACTGCTGTCGAACAAGTTTCATTATATCTTCCAACTGTAAGAAAAAGCAATCATGATTTATTTGTTTGATAATGCATTTAGTTTAGAACATTTTCAGCATAGCAAACATTGACAATCCCAAAATAAATCAGTCTCACCAATTGAAAAAAAAAGAAACATCAGTAACTTAATAAATATTTGAACCTTGCATTGCTTAAAATCTTAAAAAAAATCCTTAAAAAAACGTTTTATGACGGTCTTAATATAAGGAAGCTCTCATGAATTTGAGTTGCGTTTCCCCACTTTATTGCGCAATATGAATGAAAGTACTCTGTGCTGTGTGCCGGTAGTGACACAGTTTGTCCAATAGCTTTTCTATAGATAAAAATAAATATAGTTTGTCCTACCGTTTCTGTTTGGTTTTTTTTAGATTGAAAAAGAAACTCTGTTGGCCCTATTGGATTTTTAAGATTTAAAAAGAAACAGTGGCGCCGATTAAAAATCCGAAATTTCATGCGTTGTCATATTAAGCATACTCTTAATAATAAAGCAAGATTAGGAAGTGTGAGTTAAACAGTTATAAAAACGCTCATATGTTACAACTCATACTATCAATCTGCTGACCAAATAAGAAGCTCATAAGTCGCACTGAAAAATGTGACGATATTATGTGTAGACCAAATTGAACTTAAAGTCAATGCAATATAGATTTACTCACATAGTTGTTCTAAAAACACTACATTAAATAAAGTAATACATTAAAAATAAAGCCTTAGTGATTTGAAACATGAACATTTACAAATATCTTTTTCTACAAAGATACAGGAAGGATTATGGCATTGTTCAATCATTTTAATAGTTCAAAACGCATTCAAGTATTACCAATTTATCAACAAACATGTTTTCGGTGTTAACAAGATCTAAATTTTCCAGATAACAGTAACGATACGTTTGAATATACTATTGAGACCAAATTGGAAGCTCATTAGGTTTATAGAAAAAAGTGCGACGAAAATATTTGTTGGCCATTATAGCCGAATGGACGAAAACAGCGAAAACAGTAAAGTCCCACTTGAAAAGTAAGCCTGTATCAGTAGTCCTTAATTGATAAAACTATACACCTTTTACACCTTGTATAGATTTTTGTTTTTACAAGAATGAACATAATTCCGAAAGGAGTTGAGAATCGCCGCTACATTATTTTTTTCGTCTAAAAATGAAACGATTCTTTCAATTTTAATAACAAAAACCTACGTGTGCTGCAGGTATTATAATCTGCATTGTAGTAAAGATTTGTTTCACATTCACATAAACCAGAAGCACAAATAAGGGGAGAGTTACAACTGTTTACTGCTGTCGAACAAGAATCTTTGTATCTTCCAACTGTAAAAAAAACAATCATGATTTAGTTGTTTGATATTGCATTTATCATGTATAGTATTAGAGAATTTCAATCTTTGTCAATTAGATTAAAACACTTTCACTATTGCCATTACTGATAGTCTCTCATTAAATCACTCTTACAAAATAAATAAATGAACCATCAGTAACTTGATATTTTTGTACATTGAATTGCTAAATATCTTGTAGAAAAAGGCATTTTATGACGGTCTTAATGTAGTTTAGCTCAAATGAATACAAGCAGTATTGATAATTAACAACGCAATATGCATGCTATGTGTAGGCAGTGATGCAGTTTGCAATATTGTTTTATAAAGATTAAAAACATACGATCAGACTAAAAGCACGAAATTGATTGCGTTGTCGTTCTAAGCATACTATCACTGAACCGGACAAATGCAATATAGACTTACTACTTTAGTTATATAGTAATACAATTTAAAATGAAGCCTTATTTATTTAAAACATATGAATTTAAAAATGGCTGTTTCTACAAAAAAAGCAGGAAAATTATTGTAATTCTTATTCAATGTTACGACTATCGGCCTCATTTAATTTTCTCATTACCCCTAATTAATCATGATTTTACGAAATTGCAAGAAAACAACACAGTATGCACGAATCCTTCAAGGATATTCACGTGCTCAAACGTAGTGTCTTTTTGTTGTTGGGACGTATTAATACCCGTCCACATCTCCCGGGTGTTTTTGTTTATGTGTTTGTGTTTGTATCTATCTGATGAGTTACGCCTTTTTCGACTGATTTTTCGTTTGTTTTTATGTTGTACTGTAACACACCTGTTCCAGGTTATGGGAGGCTTTGGCGTCCGCTAACATGTTAACCCCGCCTCATACTGCAGGTGCTTATCCAAAGTCGTGATCATGTAATTCAGTGGTTGTTGTGTATTGCCTTTTTAAAAATTTGTTATCGTTCATTATTTGATACATAAATTATGCCGTTAGTTTTCTCGTTTGAATTATTTCACATTTGTCGTTTCGGGCCTATTTTAAGATTACTATGCGGTATGGACTTTGCTCATTTTTGAAGGCCGTACTGTGACCTATAGTTGTTAATTTCTGGGTCATTTGGTCTCTTATGAATAGCTGGCTTTTTGCAATCATACCACATCTTCTTTACTATATAAATAACGTTTCCTCACACATTGTGATGATCGCTAATAACTTCATTTCGGTCATATTGACGTTGTTGAATAATGTCTGCTCAAGTCCCAGAGCCGTAAACAGATAATTACGGAGGACGGATCAGGGGGCATTTAGCCAAAGGAAAAGATGATGATGACCACTTACCATTTAGCTCAAAGGTATTATCAATATATCAACAAATATTTTTTTCGATGTTGAAATATGAAATATGTTTGCACATGCTTCATTTTTGGTAAAGCTGTGGCTAAATTTTAACTTCAATAATACCAAAATGGATGCATCATAAAACAGTTATGTTAAATAAGAATTACTGTTAGATAAAAAACAAACACCTACGTGTGTTACAGGTATTATAATCTGCGTTGTAGTAATGCGTTATTTTACATTCACATAAACCAGAAGCACAAATAAAGGGAGAGTAACAACTGCTAACTGCTGTCGAACAATGTTCTTTGTATCTTCCAACTGAAAGAGAAAGCAATCATGATTGAATTTTGTGATATGTTATTTAGTTTTGAATTTTTAAGTTTAGAGACTTTAAATTGAGATTCCAACATGAACATCAATTAAATATGAATATAACACTGTTATGCAACAATATATTCAAATCTAAACTTATCCATTGAAGTGAGTGAAATATTTTTCGGTTAAACTTTTGTTTTATTTTTGCTCTAACAAGAGGAAGATATTAATGCATTATACGCCTTCGGCTGTTTTTTGCTCTTTTGTCGGGTTGTTGTCTCTTTGACACATTCCCCCTTTCCATTCTCAATTTTATGTAAAATATAAAAATATAACTAATAGCACATAAGCTTTAAATAACATGAGTAGTTGATAAAACTATTCCCCTTAAATAGTTTTTTTAACATCATTAAACATAAGTAACATTATCTCGAAAGGAACATGAGGAATGAAGAATTTCCTTAAAATTCAATTCTCTGGACAAATAATGAAATTTGTCATACTTCATTCTTCCAACTGAAATAATAAACACCTACGTGGATTGCAGGTATTATAATCAGTATTGTAGTAATGCTTGATTTCACATTCACATAAACCAGAAGCACAAATGAGGGGAGAATAACAACTGCTTACTGATGTGGAACAAGGTTCTTTGTGTCTTCCAACTGTAAGAAAAAGCAATCATGAATTAATTATTTGATGTTGCATAGTTTTTGATCATTTTAAATTTTGGTCAATAAGATTAGAATATTTTACCATTGTCTAAGATGTTTATTTCTCACTGAATTATTGTTACAAAACAAGTAAAAGAACTAATTGTAACTGGATATGTTTGTGACCTTTGCATAGCTTACAATATTGCAAAAATTAAAATTTTATGACGGTCTTAATGTGGGTAAGATGCTATTAACTTTTATTGGGTATCCCCATTTAACAAACACTTATCACGATAGTTCCTCGTGAAATGTGTAGGCAGTAAAACGGCATGTACTATTTTTTTTTTAAGATTTAAAAAAAAAACAGTTTGCATCATTATCTTTTTTTCAAGATGTAAAAAGAAATGTGCATGCAGACTAAAACAAGAGGACATAGAGAGCATGTGTCGCTCACCTTTGTCTATTTGCATATTCAACAAAGGACACTCTCCAACATTGTAGACGAGAATAGAATTTATGAATTCAACAAAAAAACTCTGATTTGTTGATCTTGAATTGCTGATCATTCAGTCTTTTTTTTTTCTCTCTCTATCTTCTTTATTTTTTGTTTAAAACACAAATGGGGGTATAACAATCCTATTTTAAGAACAATCACTCCTATAAAGATTGCAGTTTACTACCTATATCAGCAAATAAAGGCTTGCTAGTCGATCTTGCCTCGCTGATAACTTTTGTGATTAAAAGAGGGGAGAAAGATACCAGAGGGACAGTCAAACTCATAGATCGAAAACAAACTGACAACGCCATGGCTTAAAAATAAAACCAAATAAACAAATAATAGTACACAAGACACAACATAGAAAACTGAAGACTTAGCAACACGAAACCCGACAAAAACTGGGGGTGATTTCAGGTGCTCCGGAAGGGTAAGCAGATCCTGCTCCACATTAGGCACCCGTCGTGTTGCTCATGTTATTACAAATCCGGTAAATAGTCTAATTCGATAGGTCACATTCGTGGTGAAAAAGGAAGTGGATTGTAATTACGACATAAGGAACTTATCCGATATCATCTGTGAAACGGTTATCCTATAACGGTCAACCAACTCGTGATGGCGTCCGTAAAATTTACGAAGGGATGATTTCAACTTCACCATTTGGAATTCTTGGTTTAATAGCTTCCTTGTGAGCAGCAACATAAAAGTGTCTATATATCTATCAAATTTTGTATCATATAAAGCAAAATGCCAAAAAAAAATTGTAAAAATTGTCATATAAGGCGTCAAATGACAAATTAAACCACAAAACATATTCGTAGAGCTAGTCTTGCTGATCATTTTTGCAACTTAACGTTTCTTTCTTATTCTTTTTCATTTTTAAAATAATAGACAAAAAGGTAAAAAACAAAAAGGTAACATTTATCCTTTAAGGGCAATAATTCCGATAAGGGGTCGTCTGACAGTTTTGTTGTATACAGATAATTGATAGAGCTCGACATTTTGAACATTTGTGCTTTTTGTCGGATTTTTTCTTATCATAACTGTTTTTAAAATAAAAGACAAAACGTGCATTTTACCCCTATGTTCTAATTTTCGCCATGTCGGCCATCTTGGTTGGCAGGCGCGGTCACCGAATACAATTTTAATACAAGATACCCAAATGATGATTTGGGCTAAGTTTGGTTATATTTGACCCAAATATTTTCAGAGGATTTTTGTAAAAGTTAACGACAGACAACGGCAGCCGACGACGACAGACCCTAACAGATGAGAACAGCCCACTTAGCCCTTTGGACCAGGTGAGCTAAAAATGAAGATTCACGCGTTGTCATACTTTTCATACTCCAATTCATTCGAAAATAATAGGAATTAGCGGTTTACCGGTACCGGAAATCGCACAAGTGTTACAACTCATCAATACATATCAATCTGCTGATCGAAAAGAAAGCTCATAAGATTCATAGGAAACTTTTCTTGGCCTAAATAAAAAAAAAAAGGGACGACCTAGGTGAAGTCAATATTGACGAATTCCTAGAGTAGTATTATTACACATTAAAATAAACATGATGATACATTTTTATATAAAGCCATAGTTGAATTAACTTAAGTTTACAAACGCTGTTTCTACAAAGAACATGAAGTAGTTATGACATTTATCTGTCATTTAGCACACAGGCTATAAAGCATTATCTTTATCTTTATCATAGTATATCAAAAAATGTTTGTTCGATGTTGACAAGATGTCATTTGCAAGGCAACAATAATGATATATTTCAAAATACTAAAGTATGATCAGTTTGCTGTAGGATTTTAAACTTTTTGCATTTAAACATGTTATAATAAATGACAGGACTTCTGATAATGCTTTAATTTGATGACCTTTCATAAAGATTTATAAATGAGCGACATTTATACATCATATCAATACTACCTTGCGACAAGATGTTTAAATCTAAGTTTGATAATAAACATGTACTTTTGATTAGATCAACTTTAATAATAAACACCTACATGAGTTACAGCTATTATAATCTGCGTTGTAGTAATGATTCGTTTCGCATTCACATAAACCAGAGGCACAAATAAGGGGAGAGTAACAACTGCTTACTGCTTCCGAACAAGGTTCTTTGTATCTTCCAACTGTAAGGAAAAATAATCATGAATTAACTGTTTGATGTTGTAATTAG